GTGGTGGAATTGCTCATGCTAACAGTTAGCTTCTACTAGTTTAAACGTTCTCTGCTGTTTCCTGGACGCTAAACCAACAACAGCCTTCCCCAGTAAACAGTGGCGGCTGGCCAGTAGAGGGCGATAGGGCGCCGCCCTCCCAGTTATCCCCAGTGTTTATAATTTTTATTTAAAAAAATAAATAAATAAAATTAACAATAATCACATATTCTAAGTTAATTGTGTGTTTTGTAACAAAAATAAATCATATATATATATATATATATATATATATATATATATATATATATATATTGGTCTTTGCCGGTCTCTGCCGAGCGGTGGAGGCTGTAGGCTGTTTTTGAATCGCCCAAACAGGACGGGACCAGTCGTCCAATTGCTGACAAGAAAATCAAAGGGTAGGAATGGGAATGTATCCAATCAGCGTCGACGTTGTTTCAGAAGCATGATGGGCGATAGAGCTACCACCAAAGGTTTCGTTGGTGTTCGGTAGAACCCGGCAGAACTCGGCAGAGTCGTTTTTGGTCGTGACTCGTGACGCAGATGTAACATGGACGCCATCCATGCTGGATACCGGATCTCAGCAGCCACTGAATTCAGTTCGGTCTCTTCTCCAGTATCCGTTCGAGAGGAGAACTATGGTGGAATAAAAAAGAGCTTGGACCAGATCAGCCCGACGTAAAGATAAGCCGGCAGGAGAAGGAGAGAGGTAAACTACACACCAGGCTTCTGGGAAGGCTTGGCTAGCTGGATGCAATCACGCTACTGCGTTATTTTGCTTTCCGTGTTTGTTATTCCAAACGGCTGGGACAGATGAGGCATGGATGAGTCAGGAGTTACGGACATGAAACATTTTTCTGAGAAGGTGAAGAAACATGAGTCATCCCTGGCGCACATGGACAACACGGTGAAGCTAGCTATGCTAGGCAGAGCTAACATAGCCATGCAGCTAGAGACGAGCACAGGCTTGCAGTGAAGAAACACAATGAAGAAGTGGATCAGAACCGGCACATTTTGTCCAAGAGAGAGATGTCAACACAGTGTATGAGCACAAGGATGACCTCCTCAGATGTTTCCAGATGATCAGAGACTCGGATGACTTTGATCCAGAGAGAGGCAGGAGGCTTTGTGAGAATGCTGGAGGAAGAAGATTTCGGCTTTCTGCTGGCATTGTGTCACAAGATCATGCCACATGTGGACATGCTGTTCAACCAGCTGCAGAAGAGGAACATTGACTCTGTCTCCATCACAGGGGTCATCCAGAGCTTCACCAACAGCATGCAAAAGATCAGGTACATACTTGTTTATTTAATATTATTGTGATGAAATTCTCCAGTATGTTAGTTTCACAAACAGTAATGTGGATGTGGACCATATATGGTCGTGTTATTTTATGTGCAATTTAATGCAGTATTCTTCAACCTTGGTCCGCAAGGCAGCGTGCCGATAGTCAGACACACGTGGATTAATCCCTTTGTCCAATGATGTAAGACAGGAAATAAAAGAGCTGTGCTTAATTCAGGAAATAGTGAAGTTGTGCACAAAGCTCAGAAAGCACAAGTTTGTTTAAAAAAAAAATAGCACAGCCCCACCAAAAATATTTTTCACCAGCCGCCACTGCCAGTAGAGTTTCACCATCTACTTACTATTAGAGGCTGATGCAGGAGATAGGTGTAGGAGACTATTTTCATGTTCAGCCTGCATGAAAAACTCAAGAGTGACCCGTTGTAATCAGAAATAATCATTAATGATGTATTTTTCAGTATTCAGTGCCTTTAATGTTTAGGAATAATAATTTTGGGATGTTTATTTTCATCGCTGCTGTACGTTTTTGTTTTAACCACCTGTCTGCAAAGGGAATCCCTTATTTCTCTAATAAATGTGCAGTGACATTTACTAAAACCGTGAACTTGTCGGGATGCTGATCTAACAGATGTGTGCACTCGTAGCCGTGGAAGAGGTACATACTACTTGAACCATCATGAGAGCTGCCGGGATGCTTCTGATGAAGGACATGTCCATCTTGGCGGTGATGCCGTCTGCCAGCCCTCGTAGGCTGTTCCCCCCTTGCTGGGAGTTCTGGGAGTTGGGGGGGCTGGTTTCCGTGGTAACCTTGGATGGGAAGTCAGCCATGTTCCTGCAGCTTGTCTGAAGTTGGGTTTTAGAAAAAGCAGCTCCGTCAACCTGGTTCAGTCAGAGAATAAGATCCCTCGAGAGGAAAAGTTTCAGGTTTTATCCAAACCGAGGGAATTCCCACGTGGGCTGACGGCTGCGACAACAGCACACCTCAGGAACAAGTTCCTCTCTTCAAAGATCTGGTGAAAGAGTTAAAATGAGTCCAACGTGTTGAAAAATCCCGTGAAGTCCATCCGTCGGTTCTCCCGTCTGTTCTGACAGGTGTCTAACGGTGGCGATATGCGAGTCCCTTCTTGTCTCACACACACACGCGCGCGCACACACACACACACACACACACACACACTCATATGAAGTGTTTCATCATCTTCCCTCTCTCCTTTGCTCCCTGTCTCTTTTACCGTATCTGTTAGCCTCTGGCACCTCCCGTTTGGCTCTGCAAGGCCACTCACCTGGGTGATTCATTAACATGTTTGAGAACTGGGAGGAGGAGGAGGAGGAGGAGGAGGAGTAAACAGATAACACACAATGGACTCACTAACACCCCCTGGGTGTAAAAGTTGTCCCAGGTTCTTCTGTGATGGCCGTGCCTCACCTGAAGGTGTGTGAGAAGGAAAATCTCGCAAAAAAGTTGTAAATGTCCTCTTTTATATTATGAGCTAATCTATTCTTACTTATTTAAGGTTCTTACTGTTTCAGTTAGGGATGTCCGATATTATCGATCTATCATTAATATCGGCCGATATCGTCATTCAAATTTAATGTCGGAAAATATCGGTATCAGTTTGAAGTCGTTTACAAACTGTACACATATTATACACCAAACTCTTCAGCTCCCTCTCCGCTCTCTCAAAATGTCCAAAGATGACAGCTCTGAAGTAGAGTTTGAGATATTTTGTTTTATTTGTTGTTTATTTTAGTTTATTTTAGCAGAACTTGTGAAGCAGAATTTTGTTCTGGGTAGTGAACTTGTGCTCTCCTCACAGCACATAGCGGTGTGTAGCTAACAGCTAACATCAAAACAAAGATGTTCACACAAGGCTTGCTTTACTTATCTGGAGATCATAACAAATGTTTTATCACCAGCTGCAACATACAGACAGAAATTATATTACTACCTAACACACGTCTTAGCATCACGCACAGGGAGAATGAGATTCAGCTGCTGTTGGAGACAACGTGCACTTCTCCTGTAAATGTCCGAAACTGAACTAGTTGGCACAGATAACATTTAAAATGTAAGCATAGGGGGTGTGGGATGTTAGCAGGGGCGTCTCAAGAAAATGTTGATAGGGGAGGCCAAAGAAATTTTTGGGGTGTGACACAAAATTAGTCCTTGTGTTGCATTGCTCCTTTATTTGTTTTTATTTAAAAAAAAAAAAAACAGTGTGTTTCCAAAACGTTTAACTTCAATTTTACAAACACAAACATTTCAGAAACATACATTTCAGTTATTTCAAATGTGTTTTTTTTTTGTTTAATTCACCTGTTGCTGTATTCACAGAAAACTATAGAGATGAAAACATTTTTAAAAGGGTGAGCAGCAGAAACGTGTATTTTTTTTATTGTTTTTTTGTAAATAAGATCAATTTATGTTTTAAGTGAGCATTAATATGATTTATTAACACTGGATTTTGGGTGTTATTGGATATTAGTAATCTAAAATGTTTGTTTTTTCTTTCTTTATGAGAGGGGACCTAGCATATATCGGTATATCTGACATCGCTTAAGAAAAGCCAATATCGAGCATCCCTAGTTTCATGAACGGTTCTGGTCAAATGTTGAGGTTTTAATGATGAATGACCCTTATCAGACAAATAAAATGAGTGAGCTGTAGCTAGAGATTTTTAAAATGTCACAAATGACGTCAGATCTTGTGTTTTTATCAGTTTGGTTAAATGTTCTGAGATTCTAACAGAGAAGATTTATGGAAACAAAACAAAGATGTTGGCGTGACTGCATCACAAACACATGAATAAGATTAAATGTGAGCAGATAAAACAGGGAAATGTTCGTATCGGACCGGATTCTGCACTCATTTATGCAGTTTTGATTATTGGTTTTATCACTAACCGACCTTAGAAGCACAAACTGTCCAACCTTTAGTCGTGTTTGCAGATACGGAGGTAAAGCGTGGCTAATATCAGTCACTAATGCCGTTTACCTTCAGATCTTCCTAGCAGGGAGAATAGTGGAAATCTTTCTTGTCTAAGAGTTTTACCGTAAAACAAAAAATTCTTAAAATCATACTCAGCTGTGTGTGTGTGTGTGTGTGTGTGTGTGTGCACACACTCACTCGTTATATAATAAGTAATAATAGAATAGAATAAAAGGAATAAAATACAAACAAATGCACTTTATTGACTTAATCCCAGATGAAGTGACAAAGTGCTTTAAACATCATATGCTTTCATTTAACATCAGAAATATTCTCATTGTATTCAGCCATTTTAATTTTACTTAAAACAAATATTAAAGTCATAATAAGGTCACTGCGGTGAAAAACAAGAAACTTACGGAGTTGTCATCCAGGCCTTTTAATATTCAAACGTTGAAGTGTGAGCTCATGAAAAGATGCGTTGTTGGCGTTATTGCAGTGAAATGCTTGTTTTCAGTTAAACACACGAGTTTCATTCAAAATAAATACCGTCAGTAAAACATGAAGCAGTTTGATTACAGAGGGAAGCAGACTTGTGAAGCTGGCCGGAACAGCAGTAACATCTCCCAAAGGCATGTAATAAAAATACACGTCGTTTAAAAACCCTAAATAAATAACATTTCTAGGTAACATTTGATTGTTGTCATTTTACATGTAAGAGGGTCACGTGCGGTTCTGGCTGGCTGGTTGAACCGCTCTGACCTCAGGAGTAAAACTTACTGTTGTTTATCTTCTTCTCTTTTCCACTGGAGGGAAACAAAAGCACAACAGAATTATTCATTAAACACATTTATTTCATTCAACCAACACATAGGCTGTATAAAATACAATTATATGTAAATCTTTGTGGTGCAACAAAATTATTCAATAATAAAGGTGTGGGGAACTCATTTAATCAATACTCTTGCAATGGTCTCTGGTACGGATGAATGCCTTGCAAAGAAGCCCACAAGTTTGTTTATTTATTACTGTTTGTTCCTTTTTTTAAACACTTCCTCTAAATACTTCCAGACACTGTGAATTGTTGCATGGAAAGAATGGGGAATTTGCACCCTCTGCTGGCAAAGAACGGAACAACACTTGTTTCTAACTGCATTTAGAAAAGAAGGGAAGATGGGTGTTTGCTGCCCTCCAGTGTCTGAAAACGTGCTCTTTTCAGCGCTTTAGATGAGAATTATTATTATTATTATTTTATTTTATGAAACTTCTCAGAAAAATACAAAACATTAAAGAGCAAGTCACCCCCTACCAGATTCTTACTCAACTCCCACTTCCTGTTTGAAAAATGAAACAAATGCTGTTGCCTAGCAGACCGAGAGGGCGGAGCCGCTAACAAATACACACACTCATGACATTGTGACATCATAATGTACCATCTAACATCATAATGTACCTCTTAGCCAATAGCAACGGCAGATTTGAATTCAAATGCAGTGCTGAGTTTTTACCCGACGACGGTGCAACAGTAGCCACGTTTACATGCGCATATTTAATCGGATTGAATGCCCATTCAGATTGAAAATTCTGCATGTAAACATGTCAATCAGAATATTCTGATCCGATTCGGCCCGATCGGATTGAAATTTCAATCCGATTGAGAGAGGTGGTTTATTCCGTTCTTCATTCCGATTGACGTGCATGTGCACAGCCATTCGGATTGTTGGGGTAAAACAATGCCCACTGCGCATGTGTGCAACAGCCAGCGGGCCTCTCCGCTGTCATTTGGACTGCCTGACTTCAAAAATGACGGTGTAATTAACAAGCGGCGGCTTTTAAATCCGACAACAAGCCGTCCCGTTTCAGTAATATTTAATTCAGAACTTGCATTTTGTGGAAGTAAAATAAAAATCTGATTATTGCACAAATCATTCGACAAAGATGTTTAAATCTTTACTGGAAATAAGCAGGTTTATCGTGGGGGTTGCAGCGCACGGATCCCCGTTTCTGTCAGCTTTGAACACAGCAGCTTCTGCAGCAGGTGATGGAGACACGCTTGTAAAGAACACAGGATAATCTGGGTTTTACAGACCTGATTGGAGGCTGATGTTGGGTAGGAAAACGTCCTCGGTTAAATACTCTGGACGACAGTAAAGTCCGTGTTCGTTAAAAGCACGTAAACGCAGATGACCTGAGATGCGGTTCGTTAATGATGAACACAGGCTTCTAAACTTTCTGAACATCTTCTGTTATTTTGTGTGAACAGATTTTTCTCAACAGTTTCAGCTGATCGTCACATGTTATTAATAATAAGCCACAACAGAGCTCAGTAATAAAACATGAGGCTAACCCCCCCCCCCCCCACCCCCCACCCCCGCTCTGTGCCGCAGCGCAGCGCAACAGCTGTCAATTCAGACCTGCGGACCAGCTGATCAAGAGGCAGACATAACCCTCCCTTATTTTAATCAACAATAAAATGCAGCAAAGCATATATCTGCAGTTATTCACTGAAGAAAACGTAACTTCTATGAGCTAAATAAAAATATTAAATTGAATAAATGGATCAGGAAAGCAGGAAGAATAGTTATTTCTGTTTTTACATTTTTCTTTTCGTTTCATGGCGTTTGTTTACAATTTTTCTTTCGTGAAAGGCAACTCTGCGCATGCTCAACCTATTTAATCGGATTAAATGCTTGGTGCATATGTACGCACGGCATGATCGGATCATTTCAGTTCGTGTCCATGTGAACAGAGATTCGGAAATTCCGATCAACCAAGATTTCAATCGGATTGAGGAAATTAGGCACATGAAAACGCAGCTACTGACAGTTTTAGGCAGAATATTTAAATTTTAACTAAAATGCACTAAAGTTCCAAATTATTGAGTACACATGTCTACAGCTCGATCAGACACTCATTTACATAGTTTATCAGCAAAAAAAAGTTGATTTGGGGGTGACTTGCTCTTTAAGAATGGACCTGACGTTTTTCAGTGGGATTTTCTCTCCCCTGCTGTAAGAGATTTGTAGTCATTTAAAACAACATGATTTTGTTTCTATTAGGTTTTGAACTTAAGAAGAAGAAAAGAAAACATACACAAATATTCAACAAGAGTATGTATATTTTTCAGTGGGATGTTGATATTAGTGGAAACTTAAGTTAATTAAACTGATCTAAAATATTTCTGGTCTTTTTAGAGCCGTTCTGTTGTAGAAATTCAGACAAAGCTGAAGTTGGTTCACATTTCTGCTTTCCAATGAGGAAAGGGCAACTCCAACCGATGTTTACACTCACTTATCATCTTTAATCTGGTGCTGTTATAACACTGCAGCATGTGGACCAGTGGTTACCAACCTGGGTAACCTGTGCTGAGATCACCAACATTATATTTGCAAAAAATTGTGTTAAAATGTACAAAAAGCGATCAAAGCCTACTGGTTGTGCAGCACCAGGCTAAAGGTCAAAGGTGACAGATCATTTGCTGCTGTGGCCCCCAGACTCTGGACCTCTCTCCCCCTGAGCCTGAGATCAGTGGACTCAGTGGTCTCCTTTAAAAAGCAGCTGAAGACTCACCTGTTCAGGTGTTGGAGTGACCTTCATCACCTCTCCTTGTTCTGCTCTTTCTACCAACTCTGCCTTTCCCAGGATCCACTGATGACCTCGTTCTTATTCATTTTCCCTTTCCTCATATTTTTTAATCAGTTTAATTTCTCACATTTTTATGAGTTAAATCATTTAAAAATCTCTTTTGTTTTTAAGTTTTGTTCTTGATGATTTTCATCTTGAGACGTATTTAAAAGATTGTTTCTTCTTCTTCTGATTCAAAATGTTGAAGTTAATCTTGCCCGGCGGGGCGGCTCTCTGGGTGCTCGGCAGCTAGAATCGCCCCGATTAATCATTAAAAAACGTTTTTTCAGTGAACCACACCTAACTTTAAATAGCCTACAGGTATAAATGAATGTAAAAATATGGGAGAAACGAAGTAAAACATGTTCAATTTTATTTAAACTGACTAATAAATACAATAAATGCTGAAACTGACATCATATGAAAAAGATAAAGTGACAATAAACTGTTGAACTATTTTTCCAGTTTTAATGAAATAAAATGTTCGGTTTGATGATGCATGATGCGTTCTGTTGTTCAGAGGTCTGAATGTTACCTTTGCTTCTCGCTGGTGCGAGGCAGCGTGGAGCGTTGGAGGTTGGAGTGTGTATCGTACACAAAGGTGTTGCTCTGCTCCACCTTTCTCCTCAGCTGATTGGAGGAGGAGTAGAGCTCTTCCTCTGCTTTCTAAACAGCATCAGCGTGTGAGAAGATCTTTACAGGAACTCGCTGACAGACGTGACAAGAGCGCGTTTGCTCACCTCGGCTGGCTGGATGTTGATGTGGATCAGCAGAGAGGCCAGCTCTAAGTTTTCACTGTAGCCGTTCTTCAGAGGTACGGAGCGATATCCTGTAAAACGAGGATAGCAGCAATAAAACCACTTTAATCAGCCATGCAGTTGTAGAAGAACACGCTGGACATTTCAAAAACAGGCTAAGAAAAGCTTGAGTTGCACGTGTTCCTACCCGAGCGCAGGCCTTTGACAGGAAACGTGGCCTGAGCCAGGAAGTTGGGGTCTGAGAACATGTCCTCCTCGTTGACAACAAAACGAAGAAAGGTGAGTTCTGGCTCGTAGACGGTGAACTCCACTGGCTCTGCTGGGACTTTCCACACTGGTTTCAGACCATTATCATCTGTAGCCATCAGAGATGTAAAAAAAAAATCAGTCAAGGAAACCTGAAGAAACGCTTCCTAAAGTCCTCAAGTTACAAGAGGTTCTGCAGCTCGACAGATTCCTGCGACTGCTGGGGATTCCTAAAGGACCCCGTTTACGGCTTTTCACGTGTTCTCCTGCTTTAAGGACAAGAATCAGCGTGGAGGTTTGTTTGTGGGAACCATCTGGTTGTTGTCCTTGCAGAAATTAAGTTTTTACAAAACGTGGAGATCTTTACTGATGATTAAAAGATGCAGAGTTTTGATTTTTATTTGGGAAAAATTTCTCATCAAGTTTAGACCCGATGTAGTGCAAAAAAAATCAAAATTTCAAAACTCTCTTCACTCACTTCCCCCTCTTCTCCTCCAACCACTTACGGTCAACGCTGGTTTTGAACTTCTCCTCCGTGTGTCCACACAGCTCCACCTCCACAAACGGACTGGTGATGCTGCGGCCGGGTTTAGGAAGGTGCCTGGCAGCGATCACCTGATGGAAAAACATTCATAAAGTTCTCTTACATTAAATATATATATATCTGTGTGTGTGTGTGTGTGTGTGTGTGTGTGTGTGTGTGTGTGTGTGTGTGTGAGGAGCACCTTAATCTGAATTCTGTATTTGACCTTCTTCTTCTCCTGATAAGGATTGTAGCTGTCTTGGCGCATGAATTCTGGCTGTAAGACGTAGCCGGTGGATCCATTCAGACTGAAGAGGGCGCTGTTCAGCTGGGTGTATTTATCTGGGTGCAAACACGGTTTCATTTAACGCAGTTTTTAAATTTAATTTAAAAGAGAAGGAATGAAACTTTTATCAGAAGAAGGCATGTTACATGTAGCAGCACCATCTGCTTCTGGACCTGGTTTTATCTCACATGAGTTATATTTAATTAAAAATCATGCTCTCAGATTCTCACCATGGGATTAGTGAATTATGTAATATATTTGTATGGGTGACAGTTTGTCAGGTGTGACAAAGCGTGGGTTTAGTTTCGGTTCCAATAAATGCAAATAATATCAAACTGTTCACTTCAAGTGACGGTGTGTATTTTTCCTGCCGATAGGGGGCGGTAGATACCTAAACTGTTGCAAGTACGCTGTATTTTTGTGTTGGAGTAAGACCTTACCAACGGATGCCCATTAGGGTCAAAAAGGCCTGGGGAGTGCAAACCTTAGCAATATAACAAGCACATCAGACTCTCTTTCATCACTGTCAACAAGTGAAGAGGTAAATGTGTAAACAACATTTAAGAAAGATGAAAGTTTTGTAACCGTTTGTTACAAATCAGGAAATCATTTTGTCCTCATGGGCTCCCGTAGAAGGAAACATGGCATCTACTATGCCGGGATGCTGGTTGCTGTGATAGTTTTTTCAAAAACCTTTATTAACAACTTTTAAACAAACAGTCAAACAGTTATTTGAAATAAAATTACATTAATTGCTGCTTTGTCTAAAAGTTTTAGAGCAACTAATCGTCCTAAAATTAACTAATTTCATTAGAAAATACATATTTTCAGAAAAGGAACTCGAGCCTTTTCTCCTGCAGCAATGAATTATGGGTAATACCCTTGCCCGAGGTCCGCATCGCTGGGCGTGTCTGGGGGTGTGGTCAACTTCCGCATTTGAGAATTGGGACACCCTACGCACTCGCACCCTTGGCCGGAACGCGCAAATGAAGGGTGCAAGTGTTGGGATTGGGCCTTAGACCCACTGCTACGTATTTTGGACCTGATTTTTATGGTTATATGTTACAAAGCCACCAACATTTTCAACAACTGGGCATCATTTAATTCATTTTCCGCATTTTGATGAATATTTCCAGAAATTAATGGTAAAAACTACACATTGTCTCTTTAAAACTAAACTAAACTAAACTGAAACTTTCACTGTAACTGCACAGTGCAGGATGAGTAATGTCACACCTTATCTCACGCTGGATTTTCACTTTCACTTCCTCTTACTGTCTTGTTTTCAACCCTAAAAGTTCAGGAAACAACCATCTTCATGTGAAGATGAAGCTTTTTAGACAGTCGAGCAGAATATATTTAAATATCAAAAATGTAGCTTTTAACAGACATTTGATTGTCAGATTTATAGATTATTACAGATTAGGGCTGCAACAAACGATTATTTGGATAATCGATTAATCGGATGGGGTCTCGACACGATTAATCGATTAATCGGATTACATAGGGACATTTTGAAAAACTGCTAGGGAAACGTTATTTTTCTCCTTCCCTCACTTTATTAAACACAACATTATTAGAAAACAGTTCAATAGCAGAAAAACAACATGCCATCACCTAAATTGTCTTATAAGGTGTATAGACAGAGACCCTAAGCTACACCTATCTGTGACCTAAAATGCTTGGTCCAAGTTAAACAGCTTAAAGAGCAAGTCAACCCCTACCAGAGTCCAACTCCACTCCCGCTTCATGTTTGAAAAATGCAACACATGCTGTTAACTGGCAGACCGAGAGGGCGGAGCCACTAACAAATACACACACACTCAGGCTCACAACAGCATTGTGACATCATAATGTACCAGTTTACATCATAGCATACTTCTTAGCCAATAGCGGTGGCAGATTTAAATTAAAATACAGTGCAGAGTTTTTACCTGACAACGGCACAACACTGCCAGTTTTAGGCAGAATATTTAAATTTTAACTAAGATGCACTGAAGTGCCAAATTATTGACGACACGTGTCTGCAGCACGATTAGACTCTCGTTTATTTAGTCTATCAGCAAAAAAAAGTATTTGGGCGTGACTTGCTCTTTAAGGGCAATTCTCATCTGTTTTGTTTGATCTCATCTGTAGACATTTATTATAATTGGGGATGTCAAACAACTAATTTTTAAATGTAATTAAACATAGGCTGTGAATTAATCAAAATTGATCACTATTTCCAAAAATGACTGAAAAAATACCAAATAAAACAAAAGTAAATGAATGCCATCCTCCTTGTGATGATGCCCTGGGCAACTGCCATAAAGTCACATCAAGAAATGCTGCTGATCATTCCAATGATCCCAAATAGACTCACATTAGGCCACATGAAAGCAACTGAACCCAAAAATATATTAACCAGTATATAACTGCACTCTCACACAACACGCCTGCAGCAGCAGTTAGGACTCCTCCCTCCCTTTTAAAAGCGTTTTCGCTTCTGAGGACATTGTGGTTGTAAAACCACATGCTAGTAGTCTGGCCCCGGTGTGATCAACCAGTTTCTGCGGGAATGTGACGGCGGAACCGGTTCGCAGCGGCGCGAGTCGCCCCCCCCCCCCGCATATCTAATAGCGTCGCGCTTACGATTTTATAGACTTTTTTTTACGAGCTTAGGGCATGTCTAGCCTGTGTAATAATCCGGAGCTTGGGTGAATCACTTTTGAAAAGTTTTTTACTTACCCGGACACCGAGCTCTCTCCTTCCTCGCTGATGATTCTGATGCTTGCGTTTAAGACGCTGCATCATCACCGTAGTATCCCCATGCCATGCTAAGTCTGACCTACAAACGTTGCATGTCTTCGCCTGATTTAACTGAAAATGCTCCCAAACTTTAGAAGTTTTTACTTTTTGGGGGTCTCGCTGCTTCTGCCATGTTCCTCTTACAAACACCTGCTGGCTCTCCACCGGTCTGCGCGCAACGGCGGGCGGGAGGGGAGGGGGCTTTTGGAAGAGTTGCGCAACACAACGAATCGATGACGCAATTCGTTGCCAACGCTTTTAGTAATCGATTTTCATCGAATTTATCGATTCGTTGTTGCAGCCCTATTACAGATGATTTGTTTTGTTTTAAATGGGAAGATCTGATGTTTTTTAAATTTTCATTTTATATTGGAAAAACATCACGCAATGTGTGAGTATTTGTGGGTAAATCTGCATAAATTTCCTAAAAAATAAACTTTTAAACCCAGATAAATACCTGCAGTCTGGAAGTTGAGGGCCACCATGTGACAGCCGACAGCCCACATGGGGTAGGGGTCATAGTTGGAAGACTCCACACGCTGACCTTTAGGGTAGATTCGGCTCAGAGACTTGCGGTTGTACTGCAGGAAGTCCTTGGTGCGGCTTTTCCCTGGAATCTTGTTCTCCACAAACGAGCGGACTTCTTTGTGGCTGTAACTCTCTGGAGAGAAAAGGAAGGCGGTCAGGTAAAAAATCAACGGATGACTGAATTTTGTTTATAAAGAAGTGACATTAAGCAGCTTTTTTCTTTGCTCTGCATCTGTTATAAATACGGTTTGAGGCAGCTGCGGTTTGGCGCAACACAGGAAGCTCTTCGGTCTTTCGTTCGGTTACATCCTGTTTGTTCAACATGAGCAGCTCTATGCTGAATGAGGAGGCCCCTCTGTGAGCAGTATAGATATATGGTTTCTTGTCATTACCAACATTAAATTTGCCTTCAGCATCAAGGAAAGGTTGTTTTTATTTAAAAGCTTTTTATTCCATCCTGTTCTCCCTTTAAACAAACTAAAGCACCAAAGGGCCTGCCGTCTGTCTCTCCCGCTGCTGATTTTTCTACATTTTCTGATTGCAAATTTAACAAAATGAATCATTCATGTTTGTGGAGGTGAGATTCAGTTTTAACTTCATGATTATGTCCATGCTCTTATTGTGAAAGTACCATGACTTCACATTTTTACATTTTTATTATCCTTTAATTTTAATTATTGATTATAAATTGTAAGTATTATGCCCCAGAAATCATTTTAAAACTAAATTCACGCCTCACTTGATGAAAGATGACCCAGTCAGGTCCTGACACTAGACTTGGAAACTAATCTGTAATTTAGGGGTTGCAAAAGTCTCTGACACAACAAGTCAGTGACTCGTAGCAATCGGCTGGGCTTTCTTACATGGGGAACTTTGAACTTACTGGCTTAATGAACTGAACTCAATGCACTGATAAGTAGATTCAATTGGAATGTTTTCTTTGTGAAGTGCCTTGAGACAACTCTTACCTGAACTACTGCCAACCTCCTCAAAAGATCCACAAACCGACAAACGTGGCTTTTAATTTGAGGTTATTTGAGGGTTTTTTTTTCTTTTGGTGTTTTTTTCCATATAATTTGGTGGTTTTTGGTGACTTGTACCATTTTGTTTGTTTTAATGTAGGTTTTGTGTTAGATTTAGTAAACAAGTAAAAATTACTTGTATAAAGGGGTAGGGATATATAAGTTTCCACTTCAGCCTACTCCTTTTCAAACACAGAAGAAGGGATGATATGTATTTTTTCTGTTTGTGGTATTTAAAAAAAATGTATGTTTTCTTTGTTTGAAATAAACTAAACTAATAATAAGGTCATAATAATGTGTCCATAAAACATTTTTACTTGACTTGGGCCGCAGATCTTTGTAGGTGAGCCAGAAACGTTCAGATTATTAAAGAGTTGGTTCAGACTAGCAGTGTGTGTGTGTGTGTGTGTGTGTGTGTGTGTGTGTGTGTGTGTGTGTGTGTGTGTGTGTGTGTGTGTGTGTGTGTGTGTGTACCGAAGCGGTCCTTCTCCTTGCTGCGTGGCTGACAGTAGACCACTAGGTCCGACATCTCCATGGCAACCTCTTCCTTCTTCTCCACTTGCTCCTGCTGCTTCATCTGAGTTTGGACAAAAACAACCACTTCCTGTCTGAATGCTGATGCTGGCGGATCACCAGTGAAGCAGTCAGTCGTGGTTCGATGGTGCGACATGCTCCTACTGCCGTGGCGAGCTCAGACTTACGCTGCAAGATCTCAATCTGATGACAACTTCCTAAACTCAGCATCTCCATAAAAACCTCCTTTTATTGATGTCATTTATCTGTTATTTACTTTTTATGTGTTTCTGCCACAACGACGTCACTGTAGAAGAGTTTTTTTTTGTTTTGCTTTTTATGCACTTGAAATAATATAAAAAAACGTGAATAACATAAAAATAAAAAGCATTCAGGTGAGATAATGTTTAATTTGACCAGCTGCTAATTCCTCAGTGGTAGTTCTTCCCCAGTAAGGTTCAGCACATGCTGTCAGTAAGATGTAGGCACCAGACTGTGAAAAGCTAAAGACTTTGTGCTTCTTTTTAATGAGGTTTTGAATTAAAATGAGCACTATCTTAAACCTAAAGCTTCTGGACACACACCAAGCCAACTGCACACGCCACATGCTAAGCATTTCGTGTTACAGCTCCTGAGTTTTTGATGCACTGATGAAAACTAGCATAATTTGCTGAAGCTAAATACTTTTGCTTTGCACTTTGGTCTAGCAACGCTCCACTGGAGCCTCCGCTGCCGCCGGCCAGTGTTGTGGCTGGCCAACCACAGCGCGTTTATTTGAAAAAAAGGATTTTTGTCTTTTTCCCTGCTTCTACCATGGTGAATGGTGGACTGCCCTGTTGACTGACATCTGGAGTTGTCCAATCACCGTCAGGCGGGCAGGAGGCAAGTGAGCAGAACTAAAGCCCTTTTTAGTAGGGCCTAACACAACATGCCACCCAGCTCCTGGTGCAATCTACTGTCATCTCCCGCCTCCATTACTGCAATGCTCTTCTAACTGGTCTTCCAGGCTGTACTGTGAGACCTCTTCAAATGGTCCAGAACGCAGCGGCGCATCTGGTCTTCAATCAGCCAAAAAGAGCACACGTCACCCCTCTGTTCATTGAGCTCCACTGGCTACCGCTAGCAGCACGCATCAAATTCAAATTGCTAACACTAGCATACAAAGTCCAAGACGGTACGGCTCCCATCTACCTGAATCCTCTTGCAAAGGCTTACGTCTCGGCCCGGCCGCTCCGGTCATCACAGGATGGTCGGCTAGCAGTGCCTACACCACGCTCAGGACAATCCAGACTCTTCTCATGCATCGTTCCACAAATGTGGAATGACCTTCCAAGCACTACCAGAACAGGAGCTTCCTTTTCAATTTTCAAGAAACTCCTGAAGACCCTGCTCTTCAGAGAGCATCTTCTAAACTAGCACCCTCCCTGCACCCGCCCCCCCTCTCTACTGTCCACTCCTTGTTCCCTCCTCTCCATGACTGATGTCAATGTTGTTGTTGTTGTTAGCCTCAAGGGCAACATGTCAATTATCACTTGTAAGTCGCTTTGGACAAAAGCGTCTGCTAAATACATAAACATAGAAGACGCACCACGTGTATCAGTGTAATTCTGCCGTGTCTTATCAACGGGTTGTGCCATTGTGGAATTTTTGCAGCATTTGCACCGCCACGCAACCGCCCGTCCAGCGTTGTGGTAATATTACGGCAACGCTGGACTTGTGAATGCATGTCACGCCTTGGAGCAACACAGGGAGTTGTCCTGATCACGTGGGGAGTTTCGTGCCGAGTCCATGACCGGAAACTACGTTAAAAATTAAAGAGAAACGGACCGTAAGTTTCGCTTTTGTTAACAGAACCAGCTGATAACTGTAACTCCTGTTGGAGTTGACGCTCAGATCACCCAGAGGCGGCACAGGGACCGTGGAGCACAGACATCTTTAGGAGCGGCTTGTTTATGAAACTTAAAAAGAGCGCGGCTCTCGATCGCAATAAGAAGCAAGTTATGTCCAAGACAAACACGAGTCTGCGGCCGTGCAGAGACCGCCCCACACCCTCTTTATACTGCACCACACATTACTGCCACGGTCTGACCGTTCGTAAACAACCTGAAGCAGATGAGTCCGATCACAGCGCTCTGATGGTGGGCAGGATGCTACTGCAAAACAAAGATGGCGACGGCTCGTTTGAGTCTAGAGCAGATGGAGGTGCTTTATTTAGAAAAAGGATGTATTTGCATCTTTTATGATGGAATGTGGTGGACTGCCTCGTTGACGGACATCCATAGCAGTGAGTCAGGTTGTGTTGTTATCCAATAGCATGTGGAGACGGTTTGAAGAGACAACCGTAGATCCCGCCTTGAATGGACCGTGACCAGACTATAAGAATTCACATATATAGGGGCGGAAGACGCCGCCCTCCAGGAAATGCTTGTTTTTGGGTGAGGAAAGGTGTACCTCTTGTTTCTGTTGTACTGTTTGCTCTTCTCTCTCTGAGTTATGTCCCAGGCAAACTGGTACCACTCGTACATCTCCTCCAGAGAGCTGGGCGCCAGGTCGAACTCCATGCCATCCAGCTCCGTGTTATCAAGGTCAACACGATGGGCTTCCCATTTTTTCCAGGACATCACTCAAAAACAAAGTCAGAAGAAAAACCGTCACCGGTCCCGCTCGTTGAAATATTACAGCTGGAAGATCTCGACTTCTCCTTAAAGTGACTCACTTTTCTGGATGTGGCACTTGGAGATGTCCACGGTACCCTTACACAGTTCACCAAGTGGGTTGTCTTCCATGTCCTGCTTTAGTGCGCACGCACACACACACACACACACACACACACACACACACACACACACACACACCACACACACACACCATTCAAAGTGTGTCTTAATTTAACCTCGCGTGTAAATGGGACCTGAGGTCTGATCTCCACCTGGGCTCTAGTCTCCTGCTGGGCGTTGTTGGAGACTTCCTCCACGTAGTTTGCAGGGAAGAACTTTGAAGCTTTCCTCCGTAGTCACCTTTCCACCTGAAGTGAGCAGAACGTGAGTGGAGTTGTTTTATTCATTGCAAAATATGAAGATCAGGAACAGACAAGAGAGCAAAATGATTGCAAAGACATAAACAACTCACACTATCTGTGGGACCGCTAACAAGCAGGACGGTTAATATTCACAGAGGAAACAGAAACTGATGTTCCTTTAACTTCTATGCAAAGGAAAACAGCCATAAAACGTTTCTAATAGCATTTTCTCCTCGTGTTGGTGCAATATCAGTTAGAATTTCTGTAAATTAATATAAACATCAAGGTTTTCATTGATGGAATTTAATAATTTTTCACTTTTTACTTTAAAAAATCCTCATTTTTTTTTAATATAATAACTTAGTCTGCTTAATGCCTGTTTTCAAACAGAAATAGGGATTAAAATATAAAATTAACGAGCAGTTTTGATGTCTGTTTCTGTTTTTTAATCCCTTTAACTAACTAAAACGTATGAGACAACAAGTGATTTAACGAGGAAAAAATGATTGGTTCATCGAGTGCAGAAAACAGTAGAGTTGCTTGATTATCTCAGTTATTTTAAAGCAAATACAAGGATGTTAATGTTTCTAGAGAGAGAGAGAGAGAGAGAGAGAGAGAGAGAGAGAGACAGAGAGAGAGAGAGAGAGAGAGAGAGAGAGAGAGAGAGAGAGAGAGAGAGAGAGAGAGAGAGAGAGAGAGAGAGAGAGAGAGAGAGAGAGAGAGAGAGAGAGAGAGAGAGAGAGAGAGAGAGAGAGAGAGAGAGAAGAGAGAGAGAGAAGAGAGAGAGAGAGAGAGAGAGAGAGAGAGAGAGAGAGAGAGAGAGAGAGAGAGAGAGAGAGAGAGAGAGAGAGAGAGAGAGAGAGAGAGAGAGAGAGGCTACCTGTTGAAAGGAACTGATGTTATTAAAATACCCAGATTTAGAAGTAAAGACAGGTATTTTTGGGTATGGAGTGAGATTATGGAGTTGGACCCCCTTTTTCTCTGTGGAAATAAAATAATCAAAATTATTTATTTTATTTAGAGAACTTACTAGAAGCGGGCTGGGATGAGGATCAGCACCTCCAAATCTGAGACCATGGTTCTCGACCGGAAAAGGGTGGCTTGCCAACTCCGGGTGGGGGAGAGGTCCTACCTCAAGTGGAGGAGTTTAAGTATCTCGGGGTCTTGTTCACGAGTGAGGGTAGGAGGGATCGGGAGATCGACAGGCGGATTGGTTCAGCATCTGCAGTGATGCGGGGCGCTGAGCCGATCTGTCGTGGTGAAGAGGGGAGCTGAGCCAGAAAGCCAGGCTCTCGATTTACCGGTCGATCTACGTCCCAATCCTCACCTATGGTCATGAGCTTTGGGTAATGACCGAAAGAACGACGATCGCGGATACAAGCGGCCGAAATGAGTTTCCTCCGTAGGGTGGCCGGGCTCAGACTTAGAGATAGGGTGAGGAGCTCGGACATTCGGGAGGGACTCGGAGTAGAACCGCTGCTCCTCCAGATCGAAAGGAGCCAGTTGAGGTGGTTTGGGCATCTGGCCAGGATGCCTCCTGGACGCCCTCCCTGGGGAGGTGTTTTCGGGCATGACCTGCCGGCAGGAGGCCCCCGGGCCGACCCAGGACACGTTGGAGAGGTTACATCTCCAATCTGGTCCGGGAACGCCTTGGGGTCCTGCCGGAGGAGCTGGTGGAGGTGGCCGGGGAGAGGACGGTCTGGAGCCCCCTAGTTGGGATGCTGCCCCTGCGACCCGGACCCGGATAAGCGGAGGAAGACGACGAGGAGAAAACTTACTAAAGAAAGTGTATTAAGTAATTATGAAAATGTAAACTAAACTAAGATCTATGATTACATGTAGAAAATTAGAAAGAATTTTAGCTAAAAAATTGTGTGTAAACTATTTAAATTTAGAGTTTTTTTATTTCTTCTGTAAAAAGATATTTTCTTCATTCTGTTCCTTTTCATTCAAATTGTAGTGTGCAGGGATACTCCTTTTATTTTTTATTGCTTTGTTTATTTTTATTTTTTGAATGAAATAAAAGTAGAAAAAAAGCAGGAAAATGAAATATTGCATCTGCATCCACTGAGTTTGAGAGTTTGATCCGACTGTAGCTGATTTCAAGGCTCAGGAGGACCCTGCCAACTCAAATCAGTACATAAATGATGCTAACAGCATTTTAAATGTCTGCACACAAGATTCCAGCACTGCCACATCCCTAAAACAGTTTTTTCTTAGTGACTGATGCGTGTTAGCTCACCCATCCGTCGGCGTCTTTGGTGACGTTGTGTATCAGAGCTCCTTTGGTGAAGCTGAGCTCGTCTGCCCTCCTGGCCTGGTAGCTGTATAAAGCCTTAACTGTGTTTTGGGGCTAAAAGAGACGAATCCCTGAATTACGCTCCATAGCAGACGATATGTTGATGGAACGAGGATGTTTACTCACCGGCGATGGCGCAATCTCATTAGGTTCCACGTACATCTTTGCAGAATATAAATCAGAGCAGTTTTCATTCTGGAAAGAAGAAGCAGATAAATTAACATCGCGTTCCCCGGCTCAGGCTGCGGGTATCAAACCCAAACGCGTTCTCGGTGTCAGAATCTCACCTAAACGTTCCCTCTGAAGGAACTCACCTGGCTGAAGCGGCTGACCAGCTCGGGTGTGACCGGGTAACGCAGTTTGATTTTGCGATACAGCGGCTTTTTCTTGAAGTAGTTCACCAGCTCCACGAGACTCTCAAACTCCGTAGTAGTGCCCAGGACGTACACGTTCCCATCCTTCTGGATCCGGCAGTGTTTGACCTTCCCGTCCCCTCTGAAGGATGGAGGGTGACCAAGACCAGAGGATCAAGCATCTCAATAACCGAGGAGATCTATTAACATTTTAAAGGTGAAGATACACCAAAGAACATGGTGGACTTCTTTACATTTCCTGTCTGGTTTTACCTGAACGTGATGGCGAAGGAGGTCCACTTCTCCCTCTCTCTGTCGGATGAGGAAAGCTCCATCTCTGGGAATCCTGAGCAGGTAATCCTCAGCTTGACCTCTGCTCAGATTACTGTAAAACCATCTTCAGAGCACAAACACAAAAACAAGGATGTTACCTTCCTGCTGTGACTGTGGGATTAACTGACTTAAAGGGACTTTTCGGACTTTTGAATTTTTATGCTCGCGATTGCCCCCTCAGGCCAAAAGCGTAACGGCAGCTTCAATAGTAGACTCGTGCACGAGGTGCGCATGCTGTACGTGCACACTCCTTAACGAAAATAACAGCTGAGACAGTTCCTTGTGTGTGTGTGTGTGTGTGTGTGTGTGTGTGTGTGTGTGTGTGTGTGTGTGTGTGTGTGTGTGTGTGTGTGTCCCGGAGGACAGAGGACAGGAGAACCCGCAGCTAATTAATTAAATAAATTGGTTCTGTACCTTTCTCTTCAGCACAGCCGACAAAGGTTTATGATGGGTCAGTCCCTCCTGCATGCTCAGATCATTCCCTTCCCTTGCTTGAAAAATTGTTCCAAAATGAAAGTTGAACCCACATCTTTTTTTATCTGTGAATTCAATGCCGTTCGGCGAGTCTCAAATAAAAATTTGGGCATCTTACTGTAAAAAATATACCACTAATGTAAAAAATAAACTCTAAATGAACGATGTTCACATCCAGAATCAAACCCAGGTCTTCTGCACGAGAAACAGACATCTTACTAGGTGAGCTAAAGCACCAGTAATGTCCTTTTTATCTGTAACATTTATATCCTTGATGACAGCTGAAACAACGTTCAAAGAACGGTTGGGAGTGAAAATGGCTATTTTGTTGCTAATTAGCAGGAAATATCTAGAAGAAAGTTCTACAGAAAGTAGCTAAGGGTCCTCAGAAATGTGGCTAGCTTTGTCACTAGGCGTTAGGAACAGCGACAAAGTGGCACTGCCTCTCTCTCTGCTGCTAAAGCTACGGATAGCAAATGCTACGGGCGATGCCTGAGCGTGAACGCGCATGAAGCAGCCTGCTCGACCCGAGCATCTCTCTTTTTCTGTGGTTTTACAGAAAAACAGGCAATCACAGTAAAAATGCCAGGGCTCATTCTACAGGACCAGGGCATTGCAGGAGAATGTATGAAGAAGACATTTATTATTTCTATACATGTTTTGGCTGTCACACTTCCATAATGTCCCTTTAAGCATCAGTAAAATTAGCCTTTTCTCGTGTGCTGCAGGCACAAGCTGACACTTTGGGAAGAGTTTCTTTTTGCGTTGCATTTTTAAGGGTTAGATGTGTTGCAGGACAAACCCTTCTTGGAGGTGAGGGTTCGGTTTGGGTACAGCCTCAGTGAGACGCAGGTCGAAGTCCTGGCAGCGCAGCGGCGTTTCTCTGTAGTGTTGGATCAGAGAGTACACGCTGGGAAAGGGCAGGTTTGGAGTCAGGTAGAAGAAGTTTTGGCCTTCCTCTGTGCCGGAGCGAATGCGGCAGTGCTGGACTCTCCCACCACGCCTGCACAGACGTTCAGGGAATTAAGAAAACAAACAAAAAGCACCATCGTACCACAACCTGACCAAGAAATTACCAAAACGACAGAGTGAAATCAGTGACAAACGTGTCACTTTGTCGAACCATGAAGGTGCCATCTTGTCCGCCGGTTTCTGCGCAGTAATCCTGGATCAGACGCTCGGCCATAATTCGACCCTCGTGCATTTGACCGTGAAACCACGGCTCCGAGCAGTGCAGGTCCTGGTACTGAATAAAACAACAAAATGCACATTTCAACCCTCTATTCATTGGTATTCCCTCCCTAACTGGACACTTTACCTTCCTGATATCTTCATCTTCCTCTTCGTACTCCTCTGCGTAGTACAGCTTGTTATCAGAGATCACACAGTAGTGTTTGTTCCACCGCTGGTAAAGAGAAAGCAGGTTTTTACATCTTTAGTTACACGTGCAAAACAACACGTTGGAACAGCCAACTCTCCAGGGACGTCTGAGCTTTGGGAACGTTTTTGGCCTCTGAAGAAACGTGGATGTCTGACGTCCCGTAAAAAAATAAGCAGCAATCAAAGGAATGATTTGTGAATTGGCTGAATTAAATTTGGAATCAAGCTGGAGCTTTGTTTCTGTCCAATCAACAGAATCCAAGCAAAAACATAACATCTGCAAAAACTCGGACATACCATTAGCTGATTGTTTGATGCAGTGTTTAGATGACGGTACCTGGTCGACAGGGTCCCAGATCTCCAGGTCTCCCTGCTTCTCGCCCCTCCTGAAGTCTTTAACCGCTCCCGGTCCTCCCTCCACGTTAAGCTTCTTGTGCTGCTCGTAAACAAAAACCAAACTCAGCGGTGGTCTCAGATCAAGCCGCCTCCGCCATCGCCTCCCTGTGCTTCAGTACCTTGAGTATGATTTTGCCCTTCAGCTGAGTGGGTGACGGCAGCAGCTCGGCCATGTGCTCCACCGGTTCGGTCAGAAGTTTGTCCCCAAACACGTCTTTGAAGATCCGCGCCATCTGACGCAGGACAGTGTTCCTCTATGGACAGGATCACTGGGAAGCTAAAAGCATTTGAAGTAAAGTCTTGTTAACTAAGGTCATTGTGTCTAAGCTGAACAAAACAAAACAAAAATAAATAAATATGTATGTATATATGGTGCATGAAGTCTAGTTTTCCACATGAAAATACAGGAACTTGTGTTTTTTTACAGACACTAAAGAAAATTTTCCCTTCCATTTGTGAAAAGAACACAATGTATGATGATGTGAAAAAACTTTTGCAATAACAGGAAGCAAAATAAACAAATTCAAGATGACGCAAAACTGAATTAAGATGTAAAACCGGAACAAACAACATATCCATCCGTCCATTTTCTGAACCCGCTTTGTCCACGCGGGGTCGTGGGGGGGCTGGTGCCTATCTCCAGCGGTCAACGGGCAATCAGGCGGGGTACACCCAGGACAGAGAGCCAGTCCATCGCAGGGCAACACAGACACACAGACACACACACACACACACACACACACACACACACACACACACACACACACACACACACACACACACACACACACACACACACACACAAGGACAATTTAGACAGACCAATCAACCTAACAGTCATGTTTTTGGACTGTGGGAGGAAGCCGGAGAACCCGGAGAGAACCCACGCATGCACAGGGAGAACATGCTAACTCCATGCAGAAAGATCCCAGGCCGGGAAGCGAACCCAGGACCTTCTCGCTGCAAGGCAACAGCTCTAACCACTGCGCCACAGCGCAGCCCCAAACAACATATTTACATCAAATAAAAAAAATAAAACAAAAGGCATTGACCACAACGAGTCACGTGATGATGACCATTAAAAGCTATGAAATAAATTAAAGAAAGAAATAATACAATAAACATGTATTAAAATAAAATTAAAAATAACTTTCAAAGAGGGCTGCAGGGCTAGGGTTAGCACTGGTTAGCGCTGTCGCCTTGAGGTCTTTCTGCAAGGAGTTTGCATGTTCTCCCTGTGCATGCGTGGGTTCACTACGTTGGCCCTAGGTATGTGTGTGTGTGTGTGTGTCCGTGCGTGTGTGTGTGTGTGCGTGTGCGTGTGTGCGTGCGTGCGTGCGTGAGATAGGCACTAGGCCCAACGCAACCCTGCGTGGATAAGCGGATGGATGGAACTATCAAAAAGATAAAAAAGTAAAATAAAACAGAAATAAATAACGACTAAATCAACCTTTTAAATTCCACACCAGTAAAAAAAAGTTACATTGAAATACAATCCTTTTTATATTTTTTTGTTCTTTTGAAACAACAAAGGTAATTATAATATAATGTAATGTAATAATAAAGCAATGATTATAACAATAATAATAAAATGTAATAATATTTATTGCTAATGTTTAAGTTTATACTGAAACCTGGCCACAATTTTTTAAATATTTAATTTTAGTAGCATTTTTTTCAACAGGTTTTATTAAGCTAGAGGGACTAAAATGTGCTCCAGAAAGCATCTGACTCAACAGTTAAGGGTTCATGAAACTGTCTCAGTAAAAATTAAAATGAAGACAAAACCCCCAAACCTGTACAAGACCAGAAATAACCTCACAAGCTCTTACTCTGAGGTGACAAATGCATGTTCGTTTATGGCTTTGACCACATCCTCAAACTTGATCTTGGTGGTTCTGGACCAGCCGTGGTAGATGATCGGCTCCCCGGGGCCTTCCCAGCAGTCCACTGATAAATAACAAGTAAAAAATATTAAGTTAAACGAATCTAAACATTTTCGTTTACTTCACTAGCTTGATATTCACATTCAACGCAGCGACATCCCAGACGCAGACAGCGGGTGTAGGCCTCTGTTGACGACTCGCTGAGAATCTGATCACCTGTCAGGTAACTGATGGATACAAAACAAAATAAGAAAACAAATCAACTAGATTAGTTCATTTATAATAAATAATCTATTATGTCACTTTAAACACTATTCTAACATTTATATCCAAATTAAATGCAGTTGGCAATTTTTTGTGATTCATTTTCATTTTGGGAGATCCCGGACGAGCCCCCAGTTTAGGTCTCACAGCTCCCAGTGAAGACAGGTTTCAGTTTTAGTAAAATCTTTTTTGATGGTATTTTTGATCAGTTAACAGGAACATATTTAGGACAAAAACCAGCCACTTAGGTTTGTTAAACAAACTGACGTGTTATGCGAGGAGTTGATCCAGTAATGAGACAATGGGTTGTGTGTGTCCAGATTGATGATCTCTGAGAACTTCTCGTCCCAAACAGAATTCTCCTTGGAAAACAGGAAGCTGAGGAACTGGAAGAAGAGAAAGAGTTAATACACAAGGTCAAGGTAACTTTACTAATACCCACAGGTAAATTTGATTTGCCATGTGACACGAGAATTAGCGCCCAGGTTACACACAGATACACACAGCCACAAAGCACACACATCAATGAAAAATAAACAATAAGTAAATAAAAATAAAAATACTCCTTCAAACGCCTGGGAGGTGTGGCCATTTTGAGCTTCAAAACTTTCTGCTAGCCTAAACTAAGTTTGAATATTAAAAAAATAAAAAGGCAAATTTGGAAATAATTTGAAGAAATACAAGTTTTCTTTGTTACCTCGCTGACTGTGAACTCAGGGTCATTGGTCTTCCTCATGGTGTCGTCAATAAAAATGGTCATCAGCTCCCTGACCTGATTCAGATCGTTGGCCCAAGTTTCCTAAACCATGAAATTAAATAGTTAACAATCGGTACTTTTTATTTTTCAGTATCTTTACATTTCAAACACAGCATTACACCAGCTTAACAGCTCTTCTACTTTCCACCTTTTTCTAACGTAACATCTTCATAATAATTTCATAAGTAATCAGATTACTTCTTTAATCAAGAGCTGACTTCATCGAAATGAATATTTATAATGAAATTAAAGAAGATGAAAACGGTCCTCGTATTTGTTCATTTAAATCAAGTGATTTACTTAGATTATTTTGTATTTTTGAAAATGGATTCATGTTATTTACTTGTCTTGTTTTTCTTTTATTTGTGTATTCAAATTCACGACACATGACTAGTTATTGTTTCAATTTTAGATGCTTTAACAACGTTTTCGCATCTGTTGAGTATTAAATAGCTCGTAATGCCATGCTTTTACCTTTTGATCATAAATAAGAAATCGTTGGAAGTCGTGCAGCAGAACAACTGAGGCGTCTAGCTTATCTGTGCTTCTGTTTGATTGGAAAGTAAAAAAGTTTAAACACGTAAACATTTTTGTTAAAAGTCAAATGATGAGAAAACGTGACTCACCCCAGAATAAAAGAACAAGCTTCATTTTTGAATTCATCAAGGATCTGCGTTTTGAAATACTTCAGTTAAAAAGCTAAATAATAAAATGCACTGAGAAGAATTTAAGGTATTCAGACTGACCTCATTCTGTTCAAACATTATAAGGTTATAAAATTTATGAAACTGCTCAAAGTCCAGACGGTCTTTCTTTACTCCCATTTCCTATGAAAATAAACATGATCAGCATGAAAAAAGTGCCAACAATTAATACAAATTCAATAAAATGTTTTAAAGAGCAAGTCACCCTCAAATCAACTTTTTATCGCATGATAAGACTCTGGTACTCAACTCCCACTTCCTGTTGGAAAAACGCAACAAATGCTGTTGCCAGGCAGACCGAGAGGGCGGAGCCGCTAACAAATACACACAAACAGGCTCACAACAGCATTGTGACATCATTATGTACCAGCTAACGTCATAGTGCGCCTCGTAGCCAATAGTGGTGGCAGATTTAAGGCCGGCTTTGTCGACAGGCGACACAGGCGCCATCTAATGGATAGGGCGCAAAATAAAAAAAAGTATTAAATTTATGTTTGTAATATGAAATGCACTCTCTACATACTCAAAATGCCCCTCTGAAATGACATGAAATTAAAACATCAATATTTAAATTCTAATGATCTGGCTGCATGACGAGCTCCCGCTTGGGCCACCGCTCCGATGCATTTGACCGTTAAGGGTGCCGTAGATCACGTGCTTGGGTAGCACTGTAGGACATCCTGTTGTCGCATTTAAACTTTTGATATCTTTTACGATGAAAAGAACACCTAAGCCATCGGGATCAGCATTCCCAAAGCGAAGGAGGGAGGAAGAAAAAAAAACGGGCCCAAAGCAGAGGTATGTAGACTTTATAAAATTGGCAAAGGAACTTTATGCGCTAGCATTGTAGCTAACTGCCTCTCCTGCCACGCACGGTCCACGGACGGACCCTCGCTAGTTGTTTGCATACACAATACAGTATCTCGTAACTTTAACCAATTAATTTTACTTTTGAATGGTCGTGTCCAGATGCAGTGAGACAATATCTGCAGCCGGTCGACAGGCACCTGTGGACACCACGGGGGCGGGACTGTCTTCTACACCTGTTGAGCCTCACTGTGATGATGAAGAATGTAAGATTATTTTTTTTACCCTTTTATGGAGTATGATTGCAGCCTTTTTATGAACTTTGTTTCAAGTTTTAAGTACGCATACAATATGAATTTAATATTTGTATATCAGAAGAACGCTAGGTGTGGGTGTAGCAACATTTCAACTTTGTCCGACACATCGGGCGGCCGGTGTCGGTACAGGATCTGCTCGGGTGAGGGATTGGCTCGGGGTCCTTCGACTGCCGATGACGTCACATTACTGCAACTCTACTCGGCTTTCACACACACGTTTTGGAACGACATCAGCAGTTTTGCTGATAAATTCTTGTTGGTTAACACCTAAATGTTTTCTTTATAATTGTAATTTGTTAATAAAACACCATATTATCTTTGATTTGTAAAGAATGTGAAACTGCATAAAACCAACAACGGACTGACAAACAACAGAACAGTTCTTATATGTGAAGCCACGTCTGTTTATATGAATGTAGAGTTCATCTGTATATTTCCTTAGTTGTTATCTAAATACATTCTTTGACTCTAAATGTTGCTTGGTGTCTTTCAATAAAGTTCTTATATATTCTTTTGCCCCATTTCATCAACATCAAGAGCTTTTGAGGGTCACCGTTTATCGTTTGCTTTTATTTTACATTTCCTTTAGACATTCAAACATATTTTTGCAGAAAATTTAAATTTTAACTAAGATGCATTAAAGTGCCCAAATATTGACTACTTGGGTCTACAGCACATGTAGACGCTCATTATATATTTTGATCATTAAAAAACTGTTGATCTGGGGGTGACTTGCTCTTTAAGAGTTAATGCGGTTGTCATGTTTCTAAGAAAAGATTCAGATTTTTTAGCCAAGTGTACTTTCATATATAAGGAATTTGACTTTGGTTGACGTTAGCTCTCTAAACATACAAGAAAAAAACTTCTGCAGGTTAGCACCTGTAATTTATCTTTGAGCACGCGGGTGCTTGGGGCCTTGTAGTTGAGCATCGGGAGGAGAGACTTCAGCTGCTTGACAGAGAGGCTGGAAAAGACAAAAACACACAGCAGGAATCACCTCCCGGTAGTTCATGCTTTCATCAGTCGTCCATGCACCGCCTGCAATGGGTTCACAACGCTGCGGCTCGGCTTTGGACAGGTACACAGAAAAGTGAGCATATGCCCGGGTCTAAGCTTCACTAGTTTTTAAGGCACTTAATGAATTGGCCCGTTCTTATTTATCAGACTTGTTTGACCAGCGGCGGCACGCGGTTCGAAGGAGAGGCAAACAAACAAATCAGGCTGAGGTGGCTTTGTTGCAGCACGTCTTGTCACCAACACCGACCCCTAACACCAACACTCACTGCCTTTTATAACCAAGCAATGGTTGGAAGAAACCAAGAAAAGGGGTAATCAAAGAAATAATAACTAAATAATATTTACCAAACCCAACCACCAAATAATAAATGACACCAAACATTATTTACATAAATACAAATTATATTAAATCCAAGTTCACTCAGACAACAGAAACTAGGTTTCACATAACTCCTCCAGGAATCACCCCTCCTTATCTAAACGGTATGCTCCCGCAGCTTAACAGCAGCACCTGGGACACAAACTTCCCTCTGCTGCCCCGCCCTGCTGAGGAGACACTACCAGAAAGGTGAGTGAAACGCTGGAGATTAACTTGAACACATTTTGACATTTATCCAACATTTCCTCTTTACACAGGAAGGGTGTTCGGTCCCTCTGCTTCTAAAGACCCTGTTACAAATGTCCAACACAAAATAAATCACTTCAGTAACAAACCTGTTGTCTGTAACTCAATCAGAAATAACAGAACATAAATCATAATGAAGGGAACCCCGGTCTCCATTACAAGACCTCTTAGAACAGCTCTGTAACACAATCAGACGCACCCCGCTGCACCCAGATCTAAATACTAAAGTAAGGGGGAGCGTGCCTTTGCAGTGTCGGCTCCAGGTTTGTCGAACAAACTCCCTTTTCATAATAGATCCGCTGAAAGTTTGGGAGTCTTCAAAAAGCTGTAAAAAATTCACTTTTGCTCCTTGACATTGCTCTTTTTTTCTTTTAATCTAAGGATTTTTACTATCTTTTTACTTTTATCTTTGATTTTATGAAGCTGGAAGCTATCTTAGATGTTAAGTTCGTCAAGAGCAGCTGTGAGTTGTTCAGCCACAACCTTTTCCTTTAGTTATGTTGTGATTGTTTGCATTGGTTTATTTTTGCTGTACAGCACTTTGGTGCAGCTCTGTAGTGCTTTATAAATAAATTAGACATTGATATTGACCTCATAACTGATGGAAACCCTGTTTTTAGTTTAACACGGGACACGTTTGGTAGTAAAATGTAAAAACAAATCTGGTTTTATGACCACATCAAGGTCATTTACATTAAGGTTGGCCGTCCTGTAGACAATACCTACGAATAAGAATTCAAATGTCTTTTTGTAATGCACACTAAATCTACATGCATCGTAATACAAGAACACAACACGTTTTTACTTGTTTTCTCGTGCTTTTATTAGTTAAGACCAGCGATGTGTTACCACCGGTGCAGGAGGTCGTCCATCAAAGGACAAATGAGCTGAAACGATTTGAAAAATGTAAACTTAAAGTCACTGAATGCAGTTAAAACTAAAATCTGTGTTTGTTGGAAATATAATCTGAATGATGGAGATTAAAAAAAACATCAAAGCTTAAAGTATCTGGTTAGTAGTTTTAAAATCAAGCTACAAGTTATAAATAGTTTAAATTGAATAAATATTGAACTAATAATAATTATAAATGGGATTAAATTGTCAATAACTGCATTTAAATACATATAAAACATTTTGAAATGAAATAATAAATGTTTATTCTGTTCTACGTACTTATGTTTTGTTACTTTAAAGAGCTGTATTTTCCATAAACTTTTTATTATTAGTTATATTTTATACGATGTTAAACTGAATGGTCCTAACACTCAGGAATATGAAAAGCTCCGATTCGTTAACACTACCGATCCAGAACTTTTTAATGATCAGCACAAAATTCAGACGTAAAAAAAAAACTATATTTACCTGTTTGTTTTGGTCTGATTGACAGAATACATCTGCTTCCTCAGCCAGCTAGAAGGACAAGACACACAAATAAGCCTCTTAACTCAGAACCATCTGAACCAGAACCCGGGTTTAATGTCACCTTTCTATGAGAACTGGAGTAGGAGCTGCCAGGGTCTCCTTCTGCAGCATCTCGAGTCCTATCAGCCATTTCTCAGCATCCTCGACAGAATCCGCTGGAGAGTTTGTAGAAACAGAATTACCATCACAAATCCACAAGTGTCTTTTTGGAAAACGTCCCTAAAACGTCAGCTGATGGACGCCCTCACCTCCCAGGCTGAGGGTGTTCAGGACAAACTGAGAGCCGTAGAAGATGGTGAAGCAGGTGTTCTCGCCGTGTTTGTCTTTCCCATCTTTAAAACGCTCAAAGTCCTTCGAGTTCCTGCCTCTGCGGATTTCTCTGATCTCAAACAGGTCCACTGAAACACACACACACACACACACGCACGCACGCACACACACACACACACACACACACACACACACACACACACACACACACACACAACTTGTAGTTATTCACCTATTAATTATAATTTCTACAAAAAATAAACACTAAATGTTTCTATTTTGTTGATTATTTTGAGATTTCTTTGCAGATATTTTGTGTAATAGAAGGTTTGTGCATTTATGGTCGTCGTCGTCTTCCTCCGCTTATCCGGGTCCGGGTCGCGGGGGCAGCATCCCAACTAGGGGGCTCCAGACCGTCCTCTCCCCGGCCACCTCCACCAGCTCCTCCGGCAGGACCCCAAGGCGTTCCCGGACCAGATTGGAGATGTAACCTCTCCAACGTGTCCTGGGTCGACCCGGGGGCCTTCTGCCGGCAGGACATGCCCGAAACACCTCCCCAGGGAGGCGTCCAGGAGGCATCCTGACCAGATGCCCAAACCACCTCAACTGGCTCCTTTCAATCCGGAGGAGCAGTGGTTCTACTCCGAGTCCCTCCCGAATGTCCGAGCTCCTCACCCTATCTCTAAGGCTGAGCCCGGCCACCCTACGGAGGATCTCGTTCTTTCGGTCATTACCCAAAGCTCATGACCATAGGTGAGGATTGGGACGTAGATGGACCGGTAAATCGAGAGCCTGGCTTTCTGGCTCAGCTCCCTCTTCCCCACGACAGATCGGCTCAGCGTCCGCATCACTGCAGACGCCGAACCAATCCGCCTGTCGATCTCCCGATCCCTCCTACCCTCACTCGTGAACAAGACCCCGAGATACTTAAACTCCTCCACTTGAGGTAGGACCTCTCCCCCGACCCGGAGTTGGCAAGCCACCCTTTTCCGGTCACATTTATGGTGTAAATATAATTATGATGTATTTTGTTCTCAGTAAGATTAATCTGATTTTAGCTTTTTTAAATAAAAAATAAAAATGTGTGCCTCTGTACACATTTAATTAATTTCTCCCCACAAAGGCTCCTTGGATCTTTCTAAACCCAAAACATGCGGTTAATAAATATTTCAGCTGAATGCAAACTGGTGATTTTTGGGGAAATGCTCATAAAAATAGATGAATAGAGTTGTATCTGAATAAACACCATCATGCATCCTCTCCAGCAAAAAGCATTAGTGACACAATCACTTCAGCTGTTAGTCCCGCTGATCAGTTTGGTGTCATAAAATATTTACTGAGAATTAAACTAAATAATTTTAGCAAAGGAGACCTTAAACAGCATAAATGAAAACAAACAACGGGCCTAAAGCGTCTACGTGTGAGATGGATGTGCAGCAAGGACCTTACAGTACGACCAGCTTTACTCACAGACACCATCGGTTCTGTCTGCAGTACGAGTCCACGCCACCTGACGGGTCTCCATGATGACCTGCACCGTGAGACGCTCCGCCTTCTGCCGGAACACCGTCATGACCACGCCCATCTCCAAATCCCGTTTGATCAGGATCTTCTTGTACTCGGTCATTTCCCCCTGCTGCCCTGAATGAGCCATGTCTGCAGCAGAGGAGAGACAGGACGATGGAGAGTCAGTCACCTAAACATTTGTGTCCGTCAACCCTGAACAGGAGCGAGCAGGAGACCAAAATGGAGGCAGAGCCCCTCAGCACTTCAAATACTTAGCAGCATTTTCGTTTTTTACTTAGTTAAATAAAAGTGTTTAGTTTTATTGCCTTTAAGGATTTGGGAACTATTTCATTATAAATGATGTAAGTTTTGCACAAACTTCCTTTGAGGCATGTAGTTTGACCTTCGATAGTCATAACTGAGCAACAAGCTTCAAAGTTTAAATGAAACAAGAAGGAGTAATTATTTGGAATGGAAGTGGAAGTCCCACATGTCATGCCTGCATCACGCATTCAGCCTGTTTCCATCCCGTGTCACGATCACGCCGCTTTTCCAGCTTTGCTACTTTGGTTACTTTCCAGCACCAGTTTGGCTTCTTCGCTGATTCTCATTCACAAAAGCTCCAAGATGCCCACAGATCACCAGAGTTAGCACTAAAATACTCATTAACCCTAAACCATCCCCAAACCCACACCCACCTCACAATAAAAATACATTTCCTGAAGCAACTTTCTCAGAAACAAGCTGAAAATTTCCTCTATGAATCAGAAAAATGAAGTTTGAACTTAAATCATTTGAACTCGCAGCTCCACGTTTCCGCCTTGCGTGTAACATTTTCTACTGATTAACATTTTCAAGCTTCCTCTTTTCCCTCTCAATCAAATAACATTCAAATAAAAATATGTACATCAGAAATAATGTTTAGGTTCAGTTTCTTCCGGAAACCAGCCTGCTGCTTTCAGAGGTTTAGTTGATGCTCAAACGACACAGAAACACCTCTGAATGCTTGGATTTATTTAAATGATGAGGAAGGAGCGTGTGACCAAAACAAACGTTTGACAGTTTGTCTGTCTGATCGTTTCCTAGAACAGCAGCAGGTTGTGTTCGACTGAACTAATGAACTAACACACGCTGAAGGACCCGGATAGAATACCACACAGTGACTTATGTCATGCTAACGAGAGCATTCACCAACTTCCTCATCATTCTAACCCTCGTTTCAGCCGTCGAGGCACCATGGCAAACCCGCAGAACTAAAACAATTAATGAGTTTGTCAGTCAAACGTTTTCAGAGAGCTTTCTGAGGTTCAACCTGCAGAAATGCTATATGAGTTCAAACACTTGAGTCCTTTTCAAAATAAAATCATGCATTCACACAATGTGGACCTTAAAGGGGACATATTGTGTCCATCCATCCGTCCATCTTCTGAACCCGCTTGTCCACGTAGGGTCGTGGGGGGGCTGGTGCCTATCTCCAGCGGTCAACGGGCAATCAGGCGGGGTACACCTTGGACAAAGAGCCAGTCCATCGCAGGGCAACACAGGACAAACAGACACACACACACACACACACACACACCTAAGGACAACTTGGACAGACCAATCAACCTAACAGTCATGTTTTTGGACTGTGGGAGGAAGCCGGAGAACCCGGAGAGAACCCACGCATGCACAGGGAGAACATGCTAACTCCATACAGAAAGATCCCAGGCCGGGAAGCGAACCCAGGACCTTCTCGCTGCAAGGCAACAGCTCTAACCACTGCGCCACTGCACAGCCTACATTTTGCGCCTTGAGTTCTAATAGCTCTATGGTCGATAAAAAATATGTTTTTGAAGTTCTTTTCACCAATTCCCTCACAAGTTAAGTGAATTTTGCAGTTTTATTCTTGATATTTCCTGTACCCTCCAAAATGAGCCGTTTCAAGTCACTTTAACAAAGCAAGCTAGAGCAGGCCACGCCCACCCATCCCCTGTTCAGGCTGCTATGAGCTGAGAAGCTCTGATACCCAGAAGGGGCTCAGAGTGGAGAGACTGCTCCTCCAGCAGCAGCTCTCTCTTGCACACGAGAAGTGCTTTTATTCTGTGATGTCACAAACAGGGACTTTTTTAAACAACTTGTTTTAGGCATATAACTCCTAAAACCAAACACTGACAGAAAACGGATGGGTGAGTGTTTTAACGTTCGGAGACAGGCGGGAACATGCGACAGTGCCTGGCCCAGGCTCAGGGGCCTCGGGTAGACCTTGGCTCCTCTGCTGTCCCATCACGGGGGAGGGGGATGTCCAGGAGGGGGAGGGCCCAACCTTGCCTGGATGTCCTATGTCTTATATGTTTTGGAAGTTGTGCAAATGCAGGGATGGGAGTGGATATTCTGCTGGGGTGGGGCTGGGTTGGTGCCCTCGGACTCCGTGGAGCTTTGTGATGCTGCTGCTTTGGGCCCTGGCAAGATGAGCTGGGGTCTCCATGCCCTGGGTGGCATTTTGGCAACAGAGGTGCCTATTGGGGCCAGTGGGGGAGCTGGCTCCCTGGAGGGCTTAGGCCAACCAGCCATTCCTCCCCATCCCCGCATATTTCTCTCCTCCTGCTCCCTCACATCATCACACAATCATGCACATAGGACCTTGGGGGGGTGGACAAGTCAGGGGGTGCGGGTATGGACCCCATTTCCGCATTCCTGTGGCAGACTGCCCCCCAATTTTATTTGCACCTTAAACACTTCCACCAACGACATTCCACGCAGACACACACTTAGGGCCTTGGGAGTGAGCACATCCAACGGCAGTTGGCAGGGGGAACTTTCAGTGTGGTGCCTTGGTCTGCCTGGGTGTTCGTGGCTCCCGGGTCAGGGGATTTAAGATTTTTAGCACCTGCCTGATTAATCCCGGTGGCTGCCTGGTGGGGTCTGGGTTCCTGGGCTCTGGTGGGTCCCCAGCAGAGGTGGTCGCCCCTGGGGCCCGGGTCGCTGGATTCCAGGCTCGGCCGGCTGGGGGGTGGGAGGCTGCGGGTGGGCCTGTGGGCTTGCCTCTGATATCTCCCGGGACTCTGCCGGCTGCTGGTTGTGGCCCCCCGAGGGGGGCAGAGGCTTTTCTGGTTGCAGTCTCCCTGGGGTCTCTGCGCTCTGGAGCAGCTCCCTCCATCTCCTACACATCTTTGGGGGGCAGATCTGTGGCCCCTCACACTCTCTATTGGACGCTCCTATAGAGAAACCTTACATAAACAAGCGCGTGTACACACACAGGTGCTCACATGGTGCTCTCATAAGTATGGACTTGGGCACGTTCAACACATGTCCTAAGGCTGTGGATGGCACTAAATGCACTGTGATTTATTATCGTGTGATTGTTCAGTAAAACAATGTTGATTTCATATTTCCTCGTCAGGTTGACGCAGTGATAGTTTGCTCCTGTTGTATTGTTGTGTGCCTCTTTTCTGCAGGTCTAGAAGCAGACTCTTGTTCATCTTGATTGTTTATTTTGTGGAAACCCCCCCCCCCCCCCCTCCTTTTGTCACTTCCTTTCTCTTTCACCTCTGTCTCCGTGTCCGGTCAGAATTACAAGCATTCAAAAAACAATAACAATAAAGTTTTAAGTATCAGGCGTGACATTAAAGCAAAAGCTTTGATGCTCCACCTGAGAGTAAATCTGGAAGGCTTGTCACCAGCATTCAGACATCAATTCTGTTTGCTTCACAGCCAGACAGGACATGAAACAAACAAACAAAAAATATTCGGAGACAGTGGAGACCCACATGGCAGCACAAAAGGAGGGCTTTGCATATGTCCCAACCCCATTCAACGCTACAATACTTTCTCCTTGGTGAATTTTGTTGGCGAGACCCCGAACTTGAAATAATTTCACATTTTCATTCAAAATTATCCTAACGAGACACAAAAAGCCTAAGTGCAATTATTAACCAAACCAAAACTCAAAAGGTCTTCAAAGTTTATACAAATGAGCGATGGGCTGGTGCAACACACACACAGGAAGACAAACTAAAAGTATTTGCACAGATCCACAGCTGCCCTGATGGTTTCCAGGTATTTTCAAGGGAGAGGACAATAAACAAATGCACTAATCCACCCACCACTCACTCACTCACTCACTCACTCACTCACTCACTCACTCACTCTCTCACTATCTTTAACAGCTTGGTCACGGAGAGCTGGTCCTCCAGGAGTTACCTGGTGAAAGGCGGGAGACAGCTTACCAAAGGGACACACAACCATACACTCACATCTAGTCATTGATTACCCGAACACGTGTTTTTAGACCCGTGGGAGGAAACCAGAGAGAAAACCCATTCATGCATGGACAGAACACGCTAATTCCACGAGGCAACCAGTGCTGTTGCTTTTGCACCATCAGACCATGTTTTTGCAACCTCCAGATTACTTCACTATAGATTTTTGAGAATTGAGTCACATCCTCCAAATACTTGGGCGTAGTTTTCATCTGGGGAGTCTGTGATTAGCGGCTGTAGGTTCCTTGGCAGCTCCAAATTGGACTTAGTGGTTGTGTGTTATTTATTATCAGCGTGTTTACTGACTCGGGAGCCGGTACATCGAGGGTAGAATTAGTAGCTGTTTTCTGAAAATACAAATTATATCTTTTTTTTCCTCTCTCTTACATGACAAAGCCCTATAGATATCATCACGGATGTAGTTTTAACTTTAGAAGTGTGTGTGTGTGTGTGTGTGGGGGGGGGGTATTTAAAGAGCAAGTCACCCCCTACCGGATTCTTACTCCACTACCACTTCCTGCTTGAAAACTGCAAAATATGCTGTTGCCTGGCAAACTGAGAGGGCGGAGTCACTAATAAATACACACAGACTCACAACGACATTATGACATCATAATGTACCAGCTAATGTCATAGTGTGCCTCTTAGCCAATAGCGATGACAGATTTTAATTAAGATGCAGTGCAGAGTTTTTACCTGAAGAGGGCGCAACACTGACAGTTTTAGGCAGAATATTTAAATTTGAACTAAAATGCACTAAAGCGCCAAATGATTGATGACACGTGTCCGCAGCACGATTAGACACTCATGTTGGTTATCAGCAAAAAAAAAAAAGTAGATCTGGGGGTGACTTGCTGTTACGGATGCCAGGCTGGCCTGTGGAGAGAAGCAGCCAGGATCACCGAGCCC